AAAAGAATGAAAAACAAGGGTAAGCCCTTGGTAAGTGAAAGATGAACCCCCTCAGCTCCCCAGCATCCAAGATCTAGAAGTTCTACTGCTACTATTTTTGTAATCTAAGTATGACCCAGGGTGATATGGCCCATTTTTTCAAGTAATCAAATACGGCAATCAACATTATGGAAAACTAAACAAGCCCCAAAATAACATTAGAAAAATAAACACATACCGCCTGGCCCCTCTCATTAGACTGTGGGCACTGCAGGGAATCTGACGAGGTCAGAGCTCTGCAGCCACGGGAAGATGGCACGGGGGAGCTGCTCCGCTCTGGCAGAGGCCAAGCGCTCCTGGATGTGATGGCATTCACAGAAACCTGATACTGTCAGGCACTTATGAAACTAACTTAAAAGCAGCTTATGTTGCTTCCCTTTTGGAAAATATGCCACTTTCCCAACGGATGTGCTTCTCACACACCTTTTTAGGGAGGGAAAGGTAACTAGGCAAGGAAGTCGTTGGTCCCTGTGCGAAGCCACACACAGGTAAATGGACTCACCTGGGGAGCAGGAAACACACTTTGTACAGAAGCACAGATGCAACGTCACTGAAGGCCCAACGGTCAACCTGTAATTTATCTACTAAAGAAAGAAACACCCGTTCAGAGGAAGCAAGGACCACCCTGGGACTCACAGGCACTTGGAAAACGGTGAGGGCAGGGGCCAGAGCCAGCAGGACGCTGCCCCAAATCCCGGCAGTCACTGTCACTCAGCAACCAGAGGACAGCAGCCACACAGAGCACAAATGGCTCCAGGGGGAGCACCCCGAGACGAGTGAAGGCAGCACCCAATTCTACTAAACCAGAAAGCTTCATAGAAGACTTGACACCAGACCCAGACGGCGTCCAAGGTGCATTCATCTCACAATTTGGGGATAAAGTAATATCAATCCAACCTTTACTCTTTCAGAAAATAGAACAGGGAATGCTTCCAAACTGATTTGTCATCAGAATGAGCCTAATTCCAAAACAAGACAAAGATATTACCAAAAAAAGAGAAAAGTATACACCTGGTTTAAAATTCTAAAAATTTATTCTACCAAATTTAAAGAATAAAGGAGAAAGATTACATGACTATGTCAACGCATACATGAAAATCATTTGACAAAATTCCACCCAGCGAGGAAGACGCCTCTGAAACCCAAAATGGGGAGTAAGCCCTCACTGGTGAAATCCTGCAAGCTCCCCAAACCAGGAACCAGGGAAGGACATCCATTGTTGCCACCCTTACTGAAGTCATCCTGGAGGGTTCTGGACAGCTCAATAGAAGAAATTAAAAGCATAAAGATCAGAAAGGAAGATGCATATTGTCTTTATTCATAGACATCATGAATTTTTATATAGAATCCTAAGCAATCTCAAAACCCTGGAACAAATACATGAATGAGTCAAGATTCCAGAATATAAGATCAACATACAAGTCAGTTGTTAAATACAAGCAGCAATAAATTAAAAGGTTAAAAAGTTTCAACCTAATTTAGAATACCATCAAGAACAAAGTATTTAGAAAAGGAGTTTGCCAGATGAGCAAAGCCTCCAGGCAGAAAAACCATCCAATGCTGCGAGGACAATGAAGGAACGTAAACAAATGCAGATGCCAGTCGAAGCCAGGAACTGACCCCTTCAATACCAAGACGCTAGCCTTCCAAAATTGACACCCAGGTTCAATGAACTCCCAATCGAAATCTCAAAAAGAATCATTGCAGAAATTTACACCCGAATTCTAAAAGTAATATGCAAACTTAAGAGACGCAGAAGCCAAATGATTTAAAAATAAATAAATTTAGAGGACTCATGGACTCACATTACCTGGCATCAACATGTATCACAAAGCTACCTAACCAGGCCAGCGTGGAACGGGCATAGAACAGGCAAAGGTAGGCTGAACCAAACAGAGCAAAACTAGAAACAGGCTCACACACCCATGGTCAAATGATGGTAATTCAATGAAGAAGAGAGACAATTTTTATTTTCCAACAAATGATACTAAAACAATTAAATAGCTACAGGGAAAAAATTAACTCTATACCTCACAAAAAGGTAATTCAAAATGGATCACATATCTAAACATAAAAAAAAAACTACAAAGCTTTTAAAAGAAATTACAGGAGAATGAATTTCAGAAATTACAGTAGGCAAATATTTCTTACAGAGAACACAAAAAGTCTTAAACAAAAGGGGAAAAAAAGACATATGGACTTGTTCAAAATTTAAAACCTCTTCTCATCAAAAGACACTATTAGAAAAACAAAAAAGCAGACCTCCAGCTTGTCAGAAAATCATCACAATACGTGCATCTGACAAAAGTCTCCTATCCAGAACCACAAATCAGTAACAACCACAAAAACACAAACAAGAAAGCTCTAATTTTAAAATAGGCAAAAGGTGGCCAGGCGCAGGGGCTCACGCCTGTAATCCCAGCACTTTGGGAGGCCAAGACAGGCAGATCACAAGATCAGGAGTTAGAGACCAGCCTGACCAACATGGTGAAACCCCGTCTCTACTAAAAATACAAAAATTAGCCGGGCATGGTGGCGGGCGCCTGTAATCCCAGCTACTCGGGAGGCTGAGGCAGGAGAACTGTTTGAACCCAGGAGGCGGAGGCTGCAGTGAGCTGAGATTGCACCACTGCACTACAGCCCAGGTGACAGAGCAAGCCTCCATCTTAAAACAATAAAAAATAAAAAATAGGCAAAGGACTTGAGTAGATATTTCACAAAGAAAACACAGGAATGGCCAAGACTTCATCAGGATAAGTCATCGGCAAAGTGCAAATTAGAACCACAATGAGATAATACTTCATACCAGCCAAAATGGCTAAAATCTGAAAAACTGACACCACCAAGTACTGCCAAGAATGTGGAATAACTGAAACACACAATGCTAGTGGAAATTTAAGATGATACTGCTCTGAAGAAAGTTTTGGCAATTTCTTGTCAAGTTAAACATACATTTGCCATCCAGCCCAGTAATTCCACAATCAGGAATTTACTCAGGAGAAATGGAAACAAAAATTTGCAAAGAAGACTGACTTAAGGGGGCACAAGGGAACTTTCTGGAATGTTCTGTATCTTGAATGTTCTATGTCTTTGGCGGTGGTTATATGGTTGTACGCTTTTGTCAAAAATCATTGAATTGTACACTTGAAATCTTAATTTTTCTATGTAATTTTTACCTAAATTTTAAAAATAATACAATGTTAAACTTAATTGAATATTCATATAGTTTTATATACTATTCTCAAACTTTTAAATGCTCCCCCCACCAAAATTAACTGTGCACACAAACACTGCTGGCTGCCCCCCAAATCCCACTCCTTCCTTACTCACAGTACACCTAATTTTAGCCCATATATGACACGCCCTCCTTTCTTTCTCCCCTACCTGTGGCTCGGGCCCAGCGCCGTCTTGAAGCACCAGGGAAGGGACCACCGTCTGGAGACCCCAAGAGGAAAGCTCAGAGGAGCCCAAGTTCCCAGGAGCCATGAAGGCAACAGCCCCAGCTCCCACGGTTTGTCTACAGGTGTGTCTTCAAGAGAGCAATCAGCCAGATTGTATACAGGATTCAGCATTATTTCAAGGCTGTTGTTACACCTGAACCTGATCCTAACTTGATTCAGAAAGTTCATAAAGTAGAAATTCAAAATTAAGCCTCTTCATCCTATTTGCATAATCCACAACCGGCATTTAACTAAACATATCTTACAATGTTTGTTGTTTTTGTTTTGTTTTCCTTTTTCTTCCCCAAATTCACTTTGTACCTTTACTTTTTCCCAAAAGAAAAAAAACCAACACATAATTTCTATGATTTATTGTGCAACTGAACATGCTAAAAGACAAAATGACATTTTCCCCTACAAATTATTTGGTGCCTGTGATTTTCTGAACACTACAGCCAGATGGTTCTCATAGAAATTGAAAAGAGTGTATTCACATAGTTCAAAGGTTTGCTTATTTTTTGGTCTCAAAAAGACTATATTGATTGTAACGTGCAGCTCTACAGGAAAAATCTCGACAGCAGAGGCGAGTGCTGATATTTATGACTGCACTTGTGCTCATTACGGCTGTCTCTGACAGGGGTCCATTAAAATCAATTTTTATGTTTCTTATGTATTTTCTTTATCTAATGTTCTTGGCATTGTGTTTATTAGCCAGTTAAGAGAAACACCAAGCATAGGAGTGGGTGTTTTTTTTCTTCTTGTCAGAAATAACAAGACCTACAATTTTAATAGAATGAACGGAGGAAATTAAATGTTACATTTCAAAGCAAAACATTAAGGAGTGCTTTACATTTTTTGTTTTTGCAGTTAGAGAAATATAGTGGGAGCTGTTCACAAAAACAGAGACACGTACGCTTTTAGAAATGACAAGACCCTAAAGCCATGCTGAAAAGGGGCTTTCGGGCCCTTCCCCAGGCAGGGCTGTCCTCAGCCACACCCGCGCCAAGGGTCTGACCACGGCTTTCAGAGGGCAAGTGGTCCTGGTTAAGGAATTCCAGAACATCAAGCAGTCCTAGTATGAAAGTCACCTGGCAGACTCTGGCGGAACAGGGAACCCTGGTCTGGATTTTTCTTTTTTTTTAATCAAGATTAATCCTGTATCTCCCTGTCTCTAAATTTCTAGAGACATATGCTGAAGAACCAAAATGTTCAATGCTCATCACCAACCAACTCCTCTGTAAACGTACACATTAATCAAACATCTTGGAGCTACTAATGAAAGGGTATGAAGGGCATGGCCCTGGGTTCATCAGAGGCGGAGGGCTTCTAGGCAACACACAGGGAAGCTGCAAATGCAGGAGCCATCACAGCACGCTGTTTTGAGAGACAGGCTCGTGGCTGCGGTTGCGGGGGTAAGGCTATGTGTTACCCTGTGATCGATGGAAAACAAGCAGTTGTCACATATACTCCTCGGCCGCTTCAGCATGTGCAGTATACGGGATCATGCAGGTTCATACTTACTCAGCTTTAGGCGTCCCCTTGCCCAGGCGCTTTATTTCGTGCAGACCCTGCTCACAACCAGACAGCTCCAGCTTCCCCAGAGGGCTGTCCAGCACGGTGCGTTTCATTTCACAGGCCTTGTCCATTTTTCCAAGTACCTAAACAGAAACAATTTTTAAGACAAAGTGTATATGGAAGAGGCTGGTCGTATATATAACACAACAGAAGTACTGGTTATTTAAGACACAAAATGCATTCCAAAGCTTTTTCCTCATTTTTGGAATTATATGATGCGTCATTTTTACAGTATGGTTACTGAGAAGACAGAAAATTACCACAATTACCTAGAGCAGATAACCAATACTACAGTCTCCTGTTATTTCCTAAAATTACTGTATCCCGATTCTTCTTGTTTGTCTTAAACCAATGCGTCATTGAAGGAAGCTGATCTGGTAAGAGCTCCTTTTAAATAATACCCACAACTAAGCTCACTTTGTTTTACTAAAACAATTAATAAAACAACTACCATAGACAATAAATCCCAAAGACAAACTGTTCAATATTTGGAATAAAGTACATTTTAGAATGAAGCTTGTATGCAATGACTTACAGAAAGATTCAACTCAGCACCTACGCCACGACACCTGTGTTAGGAGCCAGCCCAAGAGGATGAGCAATGCGGGGGTAAATTAAAGTGCTGTGGAGAGCACATTTAACTTACATTTAAAGAGATGTACAAGGCTAGGCGCAGTGGCTCATGCCTGTAATCCCAGCACTTTGGAAGGCCGAGACAGGAGGATCACTTGAACTCAGGAGTTGAAACCAGCCTGGGCAACGTAGCAAGACCCTGTCCAAAAAGAATTAAAATTAGCTGGGTGTGATAGCACACACCTGTAGTTCCAGCTGCTCAGGAGGCTGAAGAGCAGAGCCTGAGGAATACGGGGGAACACACCCATAGGCTACCTTTACACTTGTACATTTCTTTCTCTCTTATTTTTTAGAGACGGGGTCTTGCTCTGCTGCTCAGGCTGGAGAGCAGTGGTATAATTCTAGTTCACTGCAGTCTTGAACCATGGGCTTTAGCGATCCTCCCTCTTCAGCCTCCTTAGGCACTGGCTCTTGCTATTTTAGCTCTGCCCTCTCATTGCCACAGCTTCCCAGGAAGACCCACAGCAGCTCGTGGCTACTTAAGGAAGGCCGTCCTCATGGATCCCATCACACCTAGGTTCTTCCCACTCCAACCCAATCACCAGCAATCAAAGCTCACTGAGAACAACAAAGCAACGGCTCCCTACATCAAGGGGCTGGAGCAAGGGCAACAAACTAGAGCCTGTGGGGCAAATCTGACTCACTGCACTTGTCTTTGTAAATAAAGTTTTATTGAGACACAATTGTGTTCATTTACTTACACAGTCTCCTCCTGCTTCTGTGCTGCAGCGACAGAGGTGAGCAGTTGTGACAGAGGCAGTGTGGCCCTGCAAGCCCAGAACACTGACTCTACGGCCCTCTACAGAAAAGGCCTGATGACCCCTGGAAGGGCCGCTCACTGGAAGGGCCGCTCACTGGAAGGGCCGCTCACTGGAAGGGCCGCTCACTGGAAGGGCCGCTCACTGGAAGGGCTGCTCACTGGAAGGGCCACTCACTGGAAGGGCTGCTCACTGGCACCTTCCCACTCTGTTCCCACACTGAAGTGGGTCTGAATCCCGCATGCATCTCAAATCTCTGCGCCTTCACTAAAGACCCCCTCCCTGCCTGTCTGCCGGGCACCTTGCTGCCTGGTCTCCTCTCCTGTGAAAGCCTCCACCAGCCCTCCAGCTGATCTTCCCTTTGTCTTCCACATGCTTCTAAGGCCACACTTTGGTTCTCTCATCTGTCTTTCCAAGAACGAGAGAGAGGTGCATTTACGTCCCTTAAAGGGAGCAAGGTCGGGCAGCAGACCCCAAACTACACAAGCGTTTTCTAGAAGCATTACTCTCAAGATTCAATCCTAAACCGTCACACTCCAGAGCTGCCTCTACAACCTCCCCTTTTCTGTGCAGATTGACAGGGATTTGAACCGGATCCCAACCGATCGCCCCAGGATATGGATACGGGATGTGCCGGAAACCATGCCCCATCAGAGAGGCTCTGCCCACATCACACTCCTTCAACATCTCACCCTGCAGCCTCCCTGCTGCCTCAAGGGTAAAAACCAGGCTTCCCAGGAGGGCAAAGAGCCCTGTGGAAGGAGCCACCTGCCTCCCACTTACCACGTGACAGAGGCCAGATAAAGGCAGGGGGTGCAAATCATGGCTCCCCGCCCACTGTCCTGTTGCTGTGAGAAGATCACTCTTGGTGCTTCAACTGTTTTTGTCTGTAGGGTAAATCACACCAAATCACAATGTCGGCACGAGTTTAGAGGGAACACACGCAAAGACCAGGCCTCCCAAAGGCTCTGTAGGATTTGGGGATCACTGTTGTTCCCACCACGATCAACATTTTAACCCAACCCCCTCTGCTCCGACCTCATCCCCTGGAGCACGCTGCCCCTCTCCCCCCAGTCTCATTCAAAGCATCGCCATCCTGCCCTTGCTTCCAAGGTGACTGCCTCCCCTTCTCCCATCTCCACCATTTCTCAGAGCCACAATCTCGGTCCCCAGCCTCAGCCCTGCCCCTACAGACATCTCCCACCACCCGGGGCCACTGCTTCTCAGGCAGGGTGCCGGCAGCTCTGCTCGGGACCGCCTGAAGAACAGTACGCATCACACACACAAGGGGCTCATAAAATAGTTGTGGAACTGAATTACCAGTGTGACCACCATCCAGGCCAAGCATCCATGACAGCACTTCCCAAAGTGTGTTCACAGAAGATACTGCTCAGACAACGGGGATCTGGAGGCAGCGTGAGAAATTGGGATGTTCTCTCGCCACTTCTTGGAAACTTGCCCTGCACGGCGGTGAGTTAAAGCTTCCAGCAGACTGGCTGTAAAGAGGCCAGCTTAGGTTTTGCTCTCTCAAATGTGGTTCTCCACGGAGCCACATTTGTTGCTCTATCATCCCAGTTCGGGCAAGGCTGCAGGCTGTCAGAGTCAGGAGGCCTGGGCTGGGCTCTGGACTCAGGTGGGGAGCGTGGCCAGCCCCGAGCGCCTGCATCAGGCAGCACTCTCAACAGCAGGTGTCAGAAACGGACACGGGCTAATTCAAGCACAAATGCCGTTTACTGAAAGGCTACTCCACAACGCAAAGAACTTCTGGGAAGGCTGGAGGAGCAGGCTCAGAAAATACTAGGAACCAGAACTGGCCACGCTCCAATCACAGCCAAAATCAAGCTTCAGGAAACATCTGTGGGGCAACCAGGCACAGCAGGCATGGCAGCTGGCACTGTTGCCACCGTTGCCCCTGGAAACAGGATGTGGTGGCTATGGCCACCGTTGATTCTCGGCTTCTCTGCCTCCGTGGGACTTGCTCCTGATTTGAGTCCCAGGCAGGAGCCCAGCCCTGGTGCTGACGCCCACCAACATGTGCCAGTGTCCGAGCAGCTGCAGGAAGGGACGGCCTGGGAGAGGAAGGGTTTGCCCATGTCAGTGCCTGAAGCTGCACTGCAAACATTCTGACTGGGGAGTGCCCCATGTGGGGACTGGTCAGACACTAGCTGCCCACTCCTCTCCCAAGCCTCTATTTTCTCATCAATAAGACCCCTGACTCCTCTACCTGACAGTGCCACTCTGAGGATCTAACCTGAGACGGCCACGGCCTGGGCTTCAGGTACTACACACCATGAAGGGCTGGAAGGGCTGTCATGCCATTCTGCACAGACCACACCTTGAGTTCACCCCCAATCCAAGCATCAGCCAAAGGGGAAGACATTGGAGCGTGCAGAGACAGGGCCAGGGAGAAGGGCAGGAGCCTGGGAAGGCCACTGGGGGTGAATCCCAGCGAGCTGAAGGAGGGGCATGCGGGATGGGGTGTCCTCCATCCGGAGGAAAGAGCAGGGCGGTGGAGGGCCACAGGCAGCTCAGCCCCGACAGCCTCCCAGAGAGAAGAGTCCTCAAGGTTATCAGGGTCTGGGTCCTGACCACAAGAAGCTAAACTCGGGAGGCCAGTAGCTGGGAATGCGGTGGAGAAGCCTTCCAGCCAAACCTGGTGTGGCCAAGTGAACTGCCTGCCCTGGAATGACCAACTCTGCACCCCAGAGAGCACCTCCACCCAGGAAATGCCCAAGGACCCCAGCTGCTGGTCCAAGGGACCCTAAAGCTCTGGCACATTCCCGATTGTGCCCTGCGGTGCTATCGCCATGACCAGCATCACGGCATGGGCCTCTCATCCAAAGGGCAGGCTGGCCTCAAGCCCTAGGAACCAGCTCCCCTGGCCAGCAAGGGTGGCCTGAAGCCACAGGAACACACTGAATCAATCACAAAGCAGGGAGCTGCGGGGACCAGGTCAGCTCCATCCAAATCATTCCAAGAACCAAAAAAAGGCAACCAGTTTATAACTGCAATAATGAATGAGTTCAGAATCTGACTTCCAAATGAGCAACAGATTCCAGCTCCTGTCCATATCCAATCGGCTGATTATTGAGGCACGCGAAGCCTGCCTCATTTCACCTGAACATGACAATGAGCTGGAACATGCCCCCCCAACCAAGAGCAAACCTCCCACAGAGGCCCGCAGAAATGGAATTGGATTCGCTGCTGAAACCTGCATACTACCTTTTTTCCTGTAGACAACCAGAGCATTTGGCACAGTTCTTCTGTGGGCAACAGTAGAAGTTAGTTTAGTGCCGATTCCTAAAATGCAATGGCTGAGGCCTCTACAGGACAGAAGCCCCAGGCCACCGAGCATGGCAGCATCTCTGATGCGATGCCCAGATGCCCAGGACTGACCTAGCAGGTGTGCACACTGGGCCATCAGAGAGGTGGAGGGATGCCTGCAGACTAAATGTGGGCATCACAGACACCAGGAGGGACCCACAAAAGCCAGAAATCAGGCATGAGAAAAGTGAATTTCAATAGCATGAAAACGTGATAGGAGTGAAACCATCGCAACCCAGCCAGGCGGGCGGCTCAACTTAGAAGCCAAGATACCAGACACACAAAGGCTGGCACAGCAGTGCCCTGGACAGGTCACAAGCAGCCATAAAGGCAATGGTCCCTCTCCCAACACGCCACACAGCAATTCC